CACACACACACACACACACACACACACACACACACACACTCACACACACACACACTCACACACACACACACAGACATTTCCTGTCTGACAGGAAGGGAAATCAACTGTAATCTTTAACACTAATGTTTTGGGTCACATTGGGTTTGGTTCAGAGTAAATGAGCCTTATTATTGGATCAGACTGAAAAACAGTGCTTCACAATAGACACTGCGGTTTAGAATGCTGTAATAATCGTTATCTCTTCTAGACAAAACCAGGTGATTCTGCTGGATATGCTGGAACAGGAAGTCACGAAGTTCCGCGAGTGCAACGCCACGATTGATCTGAACACACTGGTGAGTTTCAGTCATGTTTCATCATTAAAGCCTCCTGCCGTCGTCAGACTCACAGCCCATGTGTTTCAGTTCACAGAGGCCACGGTTTATCACAGAAAGCTGGTGAACATCCGCAGAGAAATGATCGTTCTGCACGACAAGACCACCAGACTGAAGGTTTGAGCTTCACAGCTTCACGATCCACACTGTTCATATATGATCCTGAGATAGTGAGGACTGACGCGTCACACTGAAAACAAGCTCAGAACATACTCGAACTTCTATAGATTGGTTGTTTACTCTCAGGACATATTTAAGAAACAGTTCACCCAAAAATGAAAATGTCCTCACCCTCAGTCTTTCCGAGATCAGGATGAGTTTGTTTCTTTATCAGATTTGGAGAAATGTAGCACTGCATCAGTGTCTCAGCAATGGATGCTCTGCAGTGAATGGGTGCCGTCAGAATGAGAGTCCAAACAGCTGATAAAAACATCACAATAATCCACAGCACTCCAGTCCATCAGTTAACATCTGGAGAAGACAAAAGCTGAAACTAATCCAGCATTAAGACGTTTTTAACTCAAATACCATAGAGTCCATAATCCATAATAAAGCTTCCTCCAGTGAAAAAGTGTTCTGGTCTGTTTGGACTCTCATTCTGACGGCACCCATTCACTGCAGTGATGGTGAGTGGATGTTGACGTCGGTGTGGTCTGTTCCTGTGATGCGTGTAGAAGCGAGTGCTGAAGCTGCAGCAGCACAAGCAGAAAGAGGATCTGGAGCGCGAGCAGCAGAGAGAGAGAGAGCTGGAGCGAGAGAGACGTCTCATCGCCAAACCCGCCAAACGCAGCGACGCTGAACCGCACTGAGCGTGCTCAGACAAACAGCTCCACCCACTGCCCCCGAGACTCCGCCCCTCAGTCACATGGTTCCACCCACTGCCTCTGCTCCTCAGAGACACGGCTCCACCCACTGCCCCGAGACTCCGCCCCTGACGTATATAAAGCAATCAGAAACACACAGATGAGCAGAAACACGTCGCTGCTCGTCACATTCATGCATGCGTCGCGCCTCTCACTCAGAATTATCTGGTGATTTCATGAATTTATCAGGACTAAATGTGATAAATTTATGTTCGACTCTCAAAGCTCTGATGACTCGTCATCATTGTCATCATGTGCACTTTTGTTCAGATAAGTAATAATAATAATAAAATAATAAAACTAATGAAAGTGTTTGTGTCACCATATTCTCCACAAAGGAAAAAATGTCTTCCAAAATCAGCTTAAACTCTTAGTAACTTCCATTAACTTCTTTACTTTATATAATGCTCTTTTAATATAATCAAACATGATAAAATAGTAACACTTTACAGTAAAGTTTAATTTCTTAATATTAGTTACCATTATTTAACAATCGTAGTCAATGTTAATTTCAGCATTTACTAAAACATTATTAAAATCTAAATTTGTATGTGTTAACTTTAGTTAATGCTCTCTAAACTAACCTTAATACATGTATTTTTATTAGCTAACATTAACAAAGATTAATAAAAATTGTAAATAATGCTTGCTCATTGTTAGTTCATGTTAATGAGTCCTTATTGTAAACTGTTAGCAATAAAACAATATTTTTCATATTTTAATGCTCATGAACTTAATCAGCATCATATAATATTTATTAATGGGATTTGAGTGTTTTTTTTTTTTTTATTAGAACAAAGAATCCAACAACATTATGCAAAAATATACACATATAAATAAACATTACATAACCATTCATTAATCCAAAACTGTATATTCATTCAGAATATGGCAAGTATTTTTATTTTATTTGCAATGTTTTTGCTGACAATTTAATCTTGTGTATGTGTAATTTTCCCACATTATTATTATTATTATTATTATTATGAGTTTTTCTGGTGAAAGCACCAGTATGATACACTGATATTTTATGGAGTGAGATCACGTGTAATCATCTGTGAGCGCTGGACTCTAGATGGCAGCAGAGCATCATGGGATTGATCCTGTGTGTCATCCGTGTGTGTTTCTGTGAGGAAAGCATTAACAGAGATGTTCCAGTATTACTGTGTGCTGGAGCGGGTTAATGAAGCGCACCGGCACGTGTGTGTGTGTGTGTGTGTGTGTGTGTGTGTGTGTGTGTGTGTGTGTGTGTGTGTGTGTGTGTGTCTGTGTCTGTGTCTGTGTGTGTGTGTGTGAGAGAGAGAGAGAGACAGTAGCGCTCGGACACAGACAGACAGGCCTGGTTTCCAGCGGTTTTGAGGGTGACGCGCGGGCGTTTGGATTGGCGTCTGGATTTAGCTGTTTGGGCCTGAAGGAGAAAAACAAACCCACGGATCCGGAGCCACAGATGCTGAGCACATGTGGAGCTGAGACTGAGTAAACAGCAGCCGTCCACACATGCTCAGCTTGGCCTCACAACAGGAAGTGATGCGGTCAAACGCTCACGTTAGCTCATGGTGAGACGCTGTGGTTCGCTGCCGTTATATAACGTGACGGGCGGGGGGTAATTGCTCTGGAATTGGGTGGAGGTTGTGTATTAGACACTAAACCCAAATATAGACTCAGACTTGTTTCTGCTCGACTGAAGAAACATCTGCTGCCTGAAAGCCTTCAAAAACACCGAACTGCTGCTGAACTACATCCAGAACATCACAGTCACTACAGTAACGACCTCTGACCTCTACAGAACCAGGCTGGCCGTACCTGCTCGTCTACAGTCCTCATACATTACATGTGAGCATATTTGCACCGCATTGACCTTCTCGCACGCCTGCGCACTATTGGTCAAACTACTTTTTAGACATTACATCAAGAAAGCAGAGCCAAAACCTGGACATTTTAGGCAATTTAGACATGGCCAGGAAGAAGAGGATGTATGTACATGGTATTAGATGGTAATATCGTGGTACAGAATTCACATTTGCATGCATGCATTTGGCAGATGCTTCTAAGCAATGCAACTTTAATTTAATTGAAGACAAACATTTCATTGGCTCATGCATAACCTGAGAATCAAACTCATGGCCTAGTGTCTGAACACTTTATAATGCTGATTATTATATTCATGCATCATGATATTTTACTTATTACTTGGTATTCCAAAGAGGCAGGGTTATTAGTAAAACTAACTAAAGCTATAACCATAAAAATAAATAAATAAAAATAATTTCTTGAAAAAAATTTAAATTAAGGCAATTTCTCATTTAACTTAACTTGAACTACTAAAATTAAATTAAAACTAAAACTGAAATAAAAAAATATATATATGTATAGACATTAAAAAAAACTAAAACTAATAAAAATCACTCAACAAAATTACTAAAACTTTTACTAAAATTAAAAAATATATATAAAATATGAATAAAACAATTTTAGTATCTCAATGATAATAAAATAACACTGTTCCAAGGAACCTAAAATTTTACCATAGTACATGTCCAAAAGCTAGTACTGTGGTGTTTTTCAGCAGGTGTTTGTGGACTGTGATTCTGATCACCTCGTCTCACCTGCTGCTCGTCTGTCTCTGTCTTCATTTATTTTGATATATGAGAGTCCAAATGAAATGAATGCACATGTGCTGCGCTGAAAAATGCAGCGGTTTCACTGTAAAGTAAATGTAGAAATGTGGGGTTTGATGTGGCAACAGCAGAAACATTAAGCAATATTTGATTAAACCAGAATTGTTTATTAACAGTTCAAGAGAACGACAGACAGATAGAGAGACAGACGGATGGACAGACAGACAGATAGAGAGACAGATGGATGGACAGGCAGACAGATAGATAGAGAGACGGATGGACAGACAGACAGATAGAGAGACAGACGGATGGACAGACAGACAGATAGACAGAGAGAGAGACAGATGGATGGACAGACAGATAGATGGACAGACAGACAGATAGATGGACAGATGGATGGACAGACAGACAGATAGATAGAGAGACAGATGGATGGACAGACAGATAGATAGAGAGACAGATGGACAGACTGACAGACAGATAGAGAGACAGATGGATGGACAGACAGACAGATAGAGAGACAGATGGATGGACAGACAGACAGATAGAGAGACAGATGGATGGACAGACAGACAGATAGAGAGACAGATGGATGGACAGACAGACAGA